GGCGCCCGACTTGGGCTTTTGAATTTTAAACCTTTTTTTTTTTTTTTTTTTTTTAAATCAATTTTTTTATGTTTTTTTCAGGACGATACGACTACATTTGAAGTTGATCATACCGATTATTTTACCACTACTCAGTTGTTTGACTCAAAGGATGAGGTAGTGGTTTGGGTGAGGTTCGTTGCAAGAGGTCTTTTTGTGAAAATAGTAAAAAGAAGCAGTCCTAAAAAAAAGATTTTTTTGACTTGTGACCTATTCGGGGAAAAACGAGAATGTTCCTCAACTAATCCAGAAGCGCGCCCGAGAAGGACCGGTAGCAAAAAGATAGGCTGTGGTTTTTATATTGTCGGAGAGCTACGATGGGATGATAAATGGGAGGTCAGAGTAATATACGGGAAGCATAATCATGTTCCGATATACAAGTCCGGGCATGGGATGAGTGCATTGTCTCAGGAGGAGGCGAAGATCATTAGTGATCTGTCACAAAGTCATGTGCCGCCCAAGAAGATTTTGGCTAACTTGAGACAAAATGGTTTGGGCCTCGATGCTTATTCAAAACAAATATACAATCAGAAGGCGAAATTGAAAAGACTATCTAGGGGTGACCGTACAGTGATGCAACATTTGATTGGGTTGCTTGAGGAGCATAACTATTACAAGTGGTTCCGCACTGATGAAACTACACATGCAGTGACTGATTTGATGTGGGCTCACCCTCAATCTGTGGAATTGTTAAGTAAGTTTCCGTACGTATTACTACTTGACAGTACTTACAAAACAAATCAGTACAAATTGCCTTTGTTGGAGATTGTTGGTGTTACTCCTGTCGGGAAAAATTTTACTGTTGCAGTCGCATTTTTGCGCCATGAAAATGAAGACCATTACACATGGGTGTTGCAAAAGCTGAAGAGACTTTTCCCCCCTCAGACTCTACCTAGTGCCATCGTGACGGATCGAGAGTTAGGGCTCATAAAGGCGCTAGAGAATGTATTTCCGACCGTACCTCATCTCTTATGTCTTTGGCACATTAACATGAATGTGGGGCGTCGTGCTTCAAGATGTCTCGGCAATAGTAGGCGTCGCGGCACGGCTTTTGTAGTTGGCGTGTGGCAAACTTTGGTAAAATCAGTGTCTGAAGAAGATTTCGCCAGGAATTACACAGCTTTGACGGACGAGTACGCGAATTATCCAGATTTGATTGAGTATCTCCAATACACTTGGCTCGTATACAAAGAGAAATTTGTAAAAGCATGGACGGATCTAATTTTCCATTTGGGTAATACATCGACAAGCAGGTATTTATTTATAAGTGGTTAAATACATATACTTAACTTACTGTCATGTAGTTTATTGAAACATAGCATATTCTAAACATATTAGGGTGGAGAGCAACCATAGAGCATTGAAGAGATGGTTGGAATCGTCCACGGGTGGCTTCGACACATTTTGGGCACAGTATCACTCAATGATGAAAGATCAATTTAACGAGATACTAGCCGATTTTGCAAAATCAAAGAGGATTCGGGCCCAGACGATCAACGTGCCCGTATTTAAAATATTGTCCAGTGGAATTGTAACACATAATGCTCTGCAGATGTTGGACGATGAGAAGGATGAAGACATAGACGGTTGCGTCTGTTATATGAGGAAATGTCTTGGACTCCCATGCAGACATGAAATTCGTGCAAAGATGAATGCACGACGTGGTGTGTTTTATGCAGAGGATGTCCACATTTTTTGGAGGACATTTATTTCGGGATTCGGGGATTCCCTAGATGAAAGTGTTGGTTCTGTTCCCGACCACAGGTCACAGGCTATTGGCAGGCTAGAAGGGTTAATGAATGATTTGCGTGAGCGGTCAGAAATTGAGATCACGGACGTGACAGATGCCATTTTTGAACGAATGCATCCCGGGGCCATGGAAATGAATGCGCCACAAGTACTAGACAACCCGAGAGGTAGACCGCGGACGAACTCTACACAGAGGGATTGGTCAGGGCATGAGTTTCCATTATTTCCGGGAGAAGGTGAAGAGTCTGGACGAGGGCGAGGACGAGGACGAGGACGATCACGAGGCAACAGAGGGCGTGGTTCATCTTCTGAGAGATCTAGCCGTGGTCGCGCTCGTTCATCGACCGTGAGTGGACCCGCAATAGGTCAAATTCCCCGACCCCCTTGGATGCGACACCTTCATTTCTGCCTTGTTCCGGAGGTTGTGACGTGGACGGACGTTCAAGGGGATGGTAATTGTGGTTATCGAAGCGTCGCGTGTGCAGTGAAGAACCCCAAGAATACTCGCGTAGCCATGCCCAACTGTCGGTACAGATAGGCCAATGTAGCCGAACCCCAAGAATACTCGCGAATCAGATTGATTTCCTCTAACAGTGGGAAAAAATCTGCTCTGACCTTCGATCCACTCTTATCCACGAACAACAACTTTCCGAGCAAGTATGCAATATATGCTCGTACTCGATACGCGGAAGAAAAGGTAGAATTGTCGCCATATTTCACCTCCAAATCATCTAACCGGGGTCCGCCACCATACCACCAATGCTCCATAAGTGCGGGGTCGACTCCGAAAGCTCTCGCACCAAGCTGGATCGCGTCGGCCTTATCCATCCAGACGTTAGGGCGAGTTCCACTAACTCGCAAACCCATGATGAAATGCACGTCGTGCAGGGTAATTGTCATCTCACCGAATGGCATGTGAAAACTGTTGGTGTCCGGCTGCCACCTCTCAATAAAAGCCTCTATTAATGGGTTATTGTGCTGAGGCAGCGAACAATCACGCAAGTGATACAAGCCGGTACTCTCAAGTAATGAGACACAATCATCGTCGTCGGGGCCCGGCCAAGTACACTTCGCGTGCGACCGTAATTTAACCATATGTCGTCCCTTTCAAGATATATTCATATATAAGTATACCACAAACAAGTGTAAATATTATAAACAAAATTTATTAATATTAATAAGTATTACCTTTCCCTCCCAAATGTCGTAGGCAATATGTGCTCCAAAACTTGGAATCAAGTGAGCGTATTTAGGTCCACCGGGTGTCTCACCGGTCAACATCCAAGGTCGAGAAGGAAGTTTTTTTCTCGGAGCGGTGCGGGACCTCGAGGCAGGATTAGAACCACCGAAAGTACCACCCATCGGGACAGGAGGCGGAGTCGGAGTCGGAACATCCTCGTAATCGTCATCGGATGGAAAATCCGGCACCGGAAACTGATACTTCTGCTGAAAGCGTAGTTGTGGATCGTACTCGTACTCCTGCGGCTGCATATATGCATCCATGGGTGCATCCATCTCCTGCTCGGCCTCTGTCTCTGTCTCCTCCTGAATCATCGTACGTGGGGGTACAAAAGCACCAGTGCGTTCCCCACGACGTTTAGAACTAGTCACATTTCTATTATGTGTCCTTCCCTCCCGTTCCGCAGTAGTCTCCACCACCGGATCTGCAGGTGGACGAATCAGGGGTCCTTTCCCTTTTCCGAGTCCGAATTTTTTCGCCCAATTAGACATCCTGTAAACATAAAATTATATTAAATTTACTAACTTA